AATCCATTTTTTTTTTAAACCCGGCCCAATTGTGCAAATAATCCCCAAATTATTTATTTTCAAATTTAGGCTTTATATTGGTTATTTGGTTAGCAAGTTTGACTTAATCAAAAAATTTCAATTGTTTCAAACTTGTACAAGTTACTAGAAACATCAAAAGCATATACTACATTGTTCGACAACCAATCTACAAGAACAAGAACATACAATAACATCAAAAATTAGGTGGGGCATTAAACAAGGACCATTAATTTATTGGACCATAAGATAAAGCAGTCAACTTTATTCCACTTTGATAACATCCAAAGTCCCAAATGCGTAACATTTACATGATCATTAATGTAAATTTAAAATCAAAGGATTAAAGCTAAGATCAAATGTAATTGCTTACACATTTAGAAAAACAAAACAAAATGAAATAATCTACCAATCATCCCCACCATAATCAGCATCATCATAACCACCATCATCAGCAGCAAGATCATCTTCAACCCTTTCAGCAGCTTCATCGGCAATATGATCTTCTAATTTATCAAAACCTTCTGCTAATGCCAGTCCACCCAATGCTCCTGCTACTGCACCCACAGCTAATCCTGTCCCCATCCCTCCAAACTTACTCTTCTTCTTTTCTTCTACTGGGGCCCCCTGCCCGTAACCACCGTACCCGCCTCCTGGCTGCCCGTAGCTCGGTTGCCCATATGCAGGCTGACCGTAACTCGAGGGCTGTGCGTATTCCGGTTGCCCAACCCCGTATGCAGGTTGTGCTGCATAAGGGGGTTGGGCGTATGGGGGCTGCCCGTATGGATAGCCCCCAGGTGGGGGGCCCGCATTCGAATACCCTGAAGGTGGGGCCGCATGCGGGTACCCTGATGGTGGGGCTGCATAAGGCGCGCTGCCTCCATATGATGTTTCTCTAGAAACACCATATGGCGGTGCGCTGTATGGATCGGGGGCATGGTACCTTGGTTGACGTACCACGACCTCGACCTCAAGTTTCCCATGTGGCCTACCAGAAGGACGCTTGAGCTTTAGACTACGGGTGATGCGCCCGCCTATACCAACATCATCGACTACCTCCCGAAGAGGGAGCTTAGCCGAGCCGATGAGTGGCTTGGTGTCCTCGGCTGCGTAAGCGTGGACGATGTCGATGTGAAGGGTGGCATCCTCGATGGGACGGTCGAGGGGAACCACAAGTGTTTGGTTCCACTGTGGGGAAGTGTCCCCCTCTTCGTCGACCCGACTCGATATTTTTCGATCCGGGTCGACCCAAATAACGGCGTACGGCTTAATGGGGCCGTAACGCCAATTGACGTTCTTGAGGTCCTTGGCAGATGACAAGGTCACCTCTACCTCAAATCTTGACGCCATTAGATAGATGATCAAGAGGAGACAATTTTGAGAAAATTCTAATGAGAGCTTATTCTAGAGCCTTGTTTTATAGGTAACAAGACTATCTAATGAATAGAATACTGTAGGCTGTCAAGATGTATTTATAGTCCAATTTCTTTTTTTTTCACAAAACACCCTTGTTTTGTGTGACATTTACGCGGAAATATCAATAGTGTGGAATACTGGAATGTGAATGCAATTTTTTTAATTAATTTTTTTTTTTGAGATAAAAATAAAATGACAAAATCTGATCCAATAAGGTTTCTTCCCTCATTAGAGTCTGATTGGTAGTAAAAAGAGGTGTATACATGATTCTTTGAAGTCTTAATACTGTTTACTTTGTACGATTTTATTTATTTTTTACAGGATACTTTGTATGATTTTGAAGTATCAAGATAACACTGTCAAATCTCATCGGATTATATATTTTGTGATTTGCAATATCTTGGCTTAATGGAAATAAAGCAAAGTTATACTCCGTATGATCAAATATCATAGAAAATCTCAAATCATGAAATCATTAGAGATTTTTTTAGGGTAATTGAAATCAATAGAGATTTAACATGGTAATCATCCATTTCAGTCATTAGCCCACTGGCATCTAGTATGATTCACGCTATCATAAAGATTTGGACTAGTTGATATCGTAGGTAGAGGCCATTTTCTCTTTTGGAATCATGAATTGTGAGAAGCTTCTTTTTTAAATAAAAAAAAACGAGAAAAAAAAATAATAAATAATAAAAGTCTGGTAGATTCAATTAGAAACTGGTGGCTTGCGAAAGTTGACGAGTATGACGATTGACACTTGACCAAGTTCCTTAATATTGAATAGTACTCTCCTACCTCCCAATTATTTATTTACATATTGTTGCCCTCTTTATTAAAATTTTGGCACTTATTATGTAATGATTTGTCAATTTCATTAAATTATTAAAAGATTATTTTTATTTGTGTGTTTTAAAAAATATTGTCTATGGTAATTAAGTATACATAAGTTTATAAGATGCTGTTTCTAATTTCCATGCATAATTAAACTTTATTCCAATCATATGAGCTATTTTTTGGCTTTTCGATTTAATGAACCAAATTTGTTGTAATCCCATATTAAGTCATTAATCATATTAAGGGTTGTACTCCCCATGTCTCATATAACTGGCACAATTGACTATTTACAGTCTTCGAGTTTAAAGTATATGCAGTTCTTAATAACATTGTAAAAAGTCAATAATCTAAAAATACATTTTAGAACAAGTGTGATTTTATTATTTTAAAAGATGATATTCTTTAGGAAAATTTGTCAGAAAAAACCTTTAAATGGCTCATTTTGCAAGAAAAAACCTTATAAACGATTCCTTGTTAAAAAAAACCACCACAATTACTTTTTTTGAACAAAGAAGCCTAGCCTCTATTTTTCGGCATTGACTCTCATTTTCTGGCGTTGACCATTTGAATTTCCTACTTGCTGCCACTTCTTTTGATATTTGCACCCCCTCTCTTATTTTCCCTCTTAATTTCCCTCTAATTATGTTCCTCTGTATTCTCTTCTCTCTCCCCTATGCCTCCTTGAATGCTCTGAAGCAAATTCACATCAAATTGGGCTGCTCACTCTATGTCTCTGTGCTCGCCATTAATACCAGCACCATTAATTGAGGTAAGTGGAAAGTCATTAGTTGTTTACTCAAATTAGTAAATTAAAAATTGGGGCTTTTTGTATGAAATTGGAAAACTGATTTTCTTACTGTATCAATGGCTGGTGGAGGAAGAAAGGAGAGGCTTGGAAAGAGGACGCTTGGACGCCATACAAGGTTTCCCAATTACGTAGTAAAGTACAAACCCAGGTATGTTCTTCAATTTCCTACTCATTTGCACAATTCGCGTTTAAATGCATAGTCTTTATTTCCAAAAAAATGATAATTAGTAAGCTAATTGTTGTTGGTTGTTTGATGATTTGGAACCCAGATTCTCAAATAATACATGCAAACTGGATTGAATTGTTGAATGTTTTTACTTGAATTGTTCATTTGTTGTTGTAGTGTGTTGAATTTCTGGAATTTTGGTTTTGTTGGTGTGTTTGTCAGGTTCAACGGTAGAGTGAATGTGTTTGAACCTCGCTTTAAATTCATGGAACCCATTAACATTAGGATGTACTATGGTGGCCATTTTGTGACTAAGAAAAACATTACAACTTATGAGAAAAAACCAAATGTACACCCAACAAAGTATGGAATTGCTTTGCGTGTGAATGTAGAGGAGGTTTGCTATTTTGAGTTTGCCTACTGGATTAAGTCTGACTTAGGCTTTGATGAGATTGGGGAAATTTATAGGAAAAAAGGATGTTCTTTACACACTGGGAGGGCTAGAATAGATGGGGATAAGGACATAGCAGAGTTCCTTGAAGCACCTGAGAAAGATGGATTTTATCACCTTTATGTTATGCATGAGGACAAGGTGGATGATGTTAATAGGAGGTTACTTTCTGGGCATGGTGTTGGTTTTTACACAGACAGTGAGAGCACAAGTGGGAGAGGTAGTGATATGGCAAGCAATGGGGTTGGTGAATCATTAAATAATCAAGAGGGGGGTCCACCAACACACAAAGTTCATGACTTCCAAACTAAAAACCCTAGATCTGAGTTTTCCAGCACTCAAAGTAAATTGCACAAATCAGTTTCAGAAACTCTTCTCCCCTCCAAACCAGTTCATAGAGCCACAAGGCCAAAGCTTCCAATAATTTCAGCTCACAAAAAACCACCCACCCAATTCATTGAAATAAGTACCCCTTCCAATTCTGCCAGCAGCTTCCCTGTTCTTCCAGATGTCACTGTTTTGACTGCATTGTCTACCTTGCTAGAAACCAACCCAGAACCTAACACCAAGCAGTTGATGGTTATTGAGAATGACACAACCAACTTCAGGGAGGCAGAACCAACTGGTGAATTAAGTGACTATGAGGTGCAACATTTTGAGGAGGATGATCCTGAATTAAGTGATAATGAGGTCCAAGATATTGAGGATGATGATGTTGAATTAAGTGACAATGAGGTCCAGGATGATGATGTTGAATTAAGTGACAATGATTAAGTGTATGTCAAAGGGTGTTGAGTATAATGATTTTGAGCTGAATGGTGAGGATGGTTTGCAGATTGGGGATAATGAGGACATAGTGGATTCAGATGATGAAGTGGTGAGTGAGGTTGGTTCAAATGATGAGGGGCCAGTGTATCCTGAGTTCAACCCAGAGGTTGATTTTAAGGGCAAAGTGGTGTTGAGTAAAGACTTGAAGTTCCCAACCAAAAAGTGCTTTAGGAGGGCTTTACAATACCATGCTATTGACCATGGTTATGACTTTTACTTTCTGCATAACAACAACCAAAGAGTGAGTGTATATTGTGCTAATAGATGTGGATGTCCTTGGAAAAGAGCAAGAATTGTGAAATGCACATGCAAAGCTAGAAGGAAGTGTAAGTTTAAGATACATTGCAGGAAGTTAAAGGGGGAGGCAACTTGGCAAATCAAGAGTCTTAGGCTTAAGCATATATGTGGGCATCAACATAAGAACTCAAAGATTACTTCATAGTACCTAGCTGAGAGGTACCTTGAAGACTGGAAGGATGACCCCCACATGGAAGCTAGCAACATTCATTAAGAGGGCAAGAAGAGAGTGTAAAGTAGAAATAAGGTACTACTTGGCATGGTATGCTAGGCAGAGGGCATTCAAGATGATTTGGGGGGATGCAGCTTTGGAATATGAGAAAGTTTGGGACTATGCAGCTGCCATATTGAAGTATAACCCAGGAAGTACAGCTGTTGTGAAGGTAGATGAAGTGCTTAACCCCCAACCTGTTTTCCAGAGGCTATATGTGTGCTTGCAAGTCTGGAAGCAGGGATTCATGGCAGGATGTAGGCCAATCTTGGGAGTGGATGGTGCTCACTTGAAGGGGGCTTATCCAGGCATTCTACTGACAGCTGTGGGGAAAGATGGCAACAACAACATCTTCCCAGTAGCATGGGCAGTTGTAGAAGTAGAAAATGGAGAAACTTGGACATGGTTTTTGGAGTTGTTAAGACGGGACATTGAGTTAGTTGTAGACTCTGTCACTTGGGTGCATGAAGCTGATGAACTCACTTACATGAGTGACAGGCAAAAGGTAATTGTGTTGCTTACAACTTTGTTCTTTTGTTTAACCAAACTTACCTATGTTATGCTTATTGCTTACTCTGAACATATGACACAGGGCCTATTGGATGCATTTTCCACAGTCATGCCTAATGTAGACACTAGGTACTGCTGCGGGCACATTTGGAGCAACTTCAAGAACAAATTCCCTGGGACTGTCTACAAAGAGCACTTTTGGAAAGCTGCAAGATCTACCACAGAGGTACAACCTGTATTACAGCATATTCAATTGCTTGCTTGTATTTGCAACATATCTTACATGTCTCTTGCTTTTGTGTTCTTTTGCTTATGTATGGCCATAGCATCACTTCAAGCAGCATATGAAAGACATCAAAAGGCTGAGTGTAGATGCCTTTAACTACTTACAAGCCATCCCAGCTGCTCATTGGTCAAGACACAAATTCAGCACCTCCTCCAAGTCAGGTATGCTTTTGAACAATTGTTGTGAGAGCTTCAACAATGTTCTTAGAGAAGCTAGAGCCAAGCCTATTCTACAGTTGATGGAGTGGATAAGGAAATATGTAATGGGAAGGTTTTTTGCAAAAAAGGAAGGGCTGAAAACTTTCAATGGTGTGATCATGCCAACTGTTCTGAAGATGGTGCATAGAGGTCTGCAACAAGTGTCCAACATGAGAGTAAGTCAAGCTGACTTAATGGAGTTTGAAGTTGATGACTCAGGAGACACCTATGTTGTGAATCTGGAAAACAAAGCTTGTAGCTGCAACAGATGGACTCTTATGGGAATTCCTTGCTGGCATGCACTTGCCTGTATTCAATTGAGAAGGCTAGACATTGAAAACTTCATCCACCCAGCTTATCATGTGGAGACCTACACCAAGGCATATGCTCCAACCTTTAAAGCAATGCCAGGTCATTAGCAGTGGGAAGTCACTCCTTATCCCAGGCCATTACCTCCTGCACACAGAAACTTACCTGGCAGGCCTTCACATAAGAAGAGAAAGAAAGAAGCTGGAGAAGATAAGGAGAGGAAGAATGTCAAGAGGGAAAAGGTGCAAAACAAATGCTCTAACTGTGGTGGGTTGGGGCATTACAAGAATAAATATCCAAGCCCACCTATTGATAAGCCAAAGAGGCAGCCTGGAAGACCAAAGAAAGTTGCAGCAACAGGGCAACCAGTAGCAGTCCAAGCAGCAGGAACTACCTCATCCCAACAACTGAGTCAATCAACCCAAGCTTCTCAACATTTCATCTCACTGTCTGCACCCCAACATGAAACCCGACAAGCTCATTAAGTTAATCAAACTTTTTATGTTAATACCTAATATGCTCTGACAACTAATCTTTTGAAAAACAATTAGTGTACTTGTTTTTTACACCAACTTATGTTATGGCAGTTCTATTTTGTAAAACAATTGGTGTACTAGTTTTTTACACCAACTTATGTTATGGTATGGTATTTTTGTTTTAAGCAATTTCATTGGTTTAATTCCTCTTACATTGTGTGCATGTTATTGTTGCTTCAGCATTTGTGACAATATTTAGAAATCAAAACATGAAGTGAGTAAACAAGCTGGCATAAAAACAGTAGATTATAAGATTGCATTTTTATTTCAATTGATCGTGGCTCCAAAATACACAAAATATTTAGCACCACCTACTTAGCTAAAACCACCCTTTTCTTAGCTTAAACCCCTACATACTGACCAACCTAAGCAATGTACTACATGAAGCATCCCACAACCTTAGCATTCTACCTAACTAAATATTTTCATCAACACCACACTTACAATCACATAAACAACAACACATATGCCAAGTTGCTTATGCCCCCCTTGCTGCATCTGTGGAAAAGAGCCTCTTTGCATTCCCCTTGCAAGATTGTTGTGATCTTCTACGCAAGCAAGCCTAGCCTTGATAATAGTCAACTCGGTTGCCCTCCTGTGCCTCTCACCTAGTAGAGTATTTATCACTTCACGTTGACATTTCGTTTGCTCCTCATCCAGCCATTTGAACGTGTTGCAACCTCGTTCCCTAGTGTCATGGTCCTACTTTTTGCAAGCCTCGAACCTTCTTCCTGGATTTTCATGAGTCTAGGAATGTCGCTTCGCACAAGGAAAGCCTCAAGCACAATTCACCATTTCACCTACAAAATTAACAACAGCACCAGAGGAATTAGTGAAGACCAAAAAAACGCACAACAGAAGAATTATAGAGAAGAGAAGAACGAATGAGCACTTTAATGGTGAATTCATCACCCCAATTGTTAAACTACAAGAAGAAGAACCCTAATTTACCTTTCAATTGATCTGATTTGGGTGGAGATTTTCCCTAATTTCGGTTAGAGTGATTTGGGGATAATAAGAATTGCCCTACAATATTTATAGAGGGAATATTAGGGAACCAAACCAAAAAGGAGGGAAATTTACCCAACTGTTGGCTGCAAGTAGGAAATTCAAATGGTCAACGCCAGAAAATGAGAGTCAATGCCGGAAAATAGAGGCCAGGCTTCTTTGTACAAAAAAAGTATCCGTGGTGGTTTTTTTTAACAAGGAATCGTTTATAAGGTTTTTTCTTGCAAAATAAGCCATTTAAAAGGTTTTTTCTGACAAATTTTCCTATTCTTTATTCTTAGTATTATAAGTTTATGAGTACAATCAAAGTTATAAAATTTGACTTTGAAAAGTTAAATGCAGAGTATACATGTCCTAAGTATGACATGTAATTTAAGATAAAAGGAGTATTTAAAGGGTGAAAATAGTTAAATGTAAACTATTTTTCGTATTTGATACTCATGTAATCATGTCACGTAATAATCAATCATGACTTCAATTGTTTAACAGTCATTAGCTCTTTCATGCGCCAATAATGAAAGAGCTTTATATAAGTATTAGAAAGCCAATTTATATTCATTTGTCTCAATAATTACATATGATGCTACTTCGTATATGTCAAATCATAATATATTCATCTATCCAATCAACATATATATTAAATGTCTATATAGAATTTTAATTTAAAGGGTTGAACATATATATCATTACGCATAAAATTATTTGTGCAATTTGCAAGAGCAATTGATAAGCTAAGGTTGGTGAACTTTTACAAGCAAATCAATAAAGTTGTTGTCAGAATTCAGAAGAGAACGAAGGAAGAAGAAAGGCATAATTCAACGTGACAGACCATAACGAGAATAATTGCAACTAACGTAAAGGGTCCAAATTGGATTTGGACTAGAGGTAATTATTTTGGGCTTACACAATTTTTTTTAGTCTGCTATTACTATTGAGTTCTAGGCCTAGCCCACCAGAAATTCAGGTCAGATCTTTTGCAGGCCCAATGCATGTGAACGAGGAAGTAAAACCCAAAAAAAAAAAAAAAAAAAAAAAAAAAAAAAAAAAAAAAAAAACAAAGAAAAGCTTTCCATGCACTAACTAATTTTGAATGGTGGATTTGAGCTTGGGCCTTAAAAGTTACGGAGTACCGAATGAATAAATGATAGTCCCATGAAAAATATACTTTCTCCGTTCATGTTTAGTTACAACACTTTAACTTTTACTCTTACCAATGCATAACTATCGATGAGTAAAAATTATACTTATAGAATCTAAATACAATTGCAAGTAGGAAGTTTAGAAAAACAAACAGGGTGACGATTGAATCAAATCCAAGGAGGAAGAAGTACCTTTATGATGTAATGCCTAGGATGGTACATGCTACTTAAAAATAACCTCCCAAATCAAAGCAAGTTAAGAGTGACGAATTGATGATCATCATTTTTTCTTTAGACATGCTTTATACATGAATGTCTTTTCTTGTTATCTTCTTCTTAGTCGGTTATTGCTAGCTAGTAATTGCTTCTTGATTAACTTTCACAGCAAGTTCCAATTTACACCACTTTATTTTATCACAATATTATACTCTCTACAAGTCTCTATCATCAACATGAGATAAAATGAGCACCACTAACATTTACACAAAATAATATTGTGCTCTATTTTTTATTGCTTTTAAGTTTCAAGTATATGACGCGTAATTAATTATAGTTAGCTTATATTATAAGTTCAAAAACTTGAGGTTATTAATCAATGCTTAAATTTTCTCTTGAATTTCCCTTTAAAGCAATCTATACAATATTGCTTTATATAAACCTGCCTCTTCCATTTCTCTCACTTTTCTTAATCCTGCCCTTTTATTTTCTGCTCATCAATTTTCTTTTATTCCAAACAACTTAATTATTATTCTCTCTTGCATTCCTTAATTTTAAGGTTTGTCTTTATTTTCCCCAATAACATTTTCATTTTAATGTTTCATTTATCCTTATACAATAATAGTACTAAATCGTTATCGTTTATCATTGCAGTGATATTTTAAGAGTCTACTATAAATGGGTAAGATGAGGAGAATAATTTTGCGAACAAAAAAGGCCTTTTCTTGCAATGGTAATTTTTCTTACCCTTCGTTATTTAGTTATTTATTATTATTATTATTATTATTATTATTATTATTATTATTATTATTATTATTATTATTATTATTATTATTATTATTATTATTATTATTATTATTATTATTATTATTATTATTATTATTATTATTATTATTATTATTATTATTATTATTATTATTATTATTATTATTATTATTATTATTATTACTTCGTATTATTTTAACTTCATTACCATATGTTTTATGATTTTGTTTAAATAGTTTGAAGTAGTTGTAATGTAAGATGTTTTTGTACAATGAAACTACTTAATTGGAGTGATTTGAGATATTCCATGTTTTTATTCTGAGCCAGCTTCTTTATATCTGTCCATTTTATAAGATTTTCTACTATGCTGGCCCAAACCTAACACAAATAGGCCTATCAAGGAAAGACTAACAAAGACCCTTATATGGATCTAAACTAGTCCACTAGTTCTTAGGCCTGTTGGGCTTGACTGAGTAAGTAGCAATTTTGTGCCAATAGTCAATAGCTTAACTCCTACGAATGAGTCACAAAGACAATACAAATTATAAATAAGGTTGAGGCTTTTGAGGGAATCTCAATCTGTGACATATTGACATATCGTACACTGACCTTCAATCTTAACCAGTAAGCTAGGATTTCATTGATTTTTTTTTGTGTATTAACTATTTTTCCATTAAATTACTCCATATTATTTTTCCACCTATGTTTGTTGTACTAGTTGATTGGTAGTTGGATATTACTTGTATAGTTGTACTTCGTAGTTGTTAAGGCCGTAAGAGGTAGATGTTAGAAGTAAAAAAGACAGTGTTAAGTACTCCATATGATTAGATATAGCAATAAATCATATAACAAAAGGTACATATATAAAAAAAACTACTTTTTATTCCAAATTAAAGCTATTTTTACCGAAAGGTAGTATTTTGAAAGTTCATGTTATTATGTTTGACCTACCTCAAGTTTTTAACCGCTAAAAGAGTTCACTAATCCGCATCGCAAAACACCGTTTCCACCAAACACGACTTTTTTTTTTACTTTTAGTAAAGGTCTTTACATTAAAAGCTTTTTGAAAATTTCTTGTTCATCATGTCCAAAATAATGTCTTTGTAACCATTATTAAACTACTTTATATTATAATGTTTCCCAAAAAAAAAAGTACTTTATTTAAAATGTGTACATGAATTAAAAATTTAAAATGGTCGACATTATGATGAAAGTGTATAGATCAATTTTTTTAACGTAAAAGTTAATTCCATCTCCAAAAATTTAATGTGATTTTCTCAAAAAAGAAATTATAAATACTTAGGTTACAAAAGTAACATTTTGTCTGACTTAGCTTGAAGTAGCTAAAATAGATAATATTCGACAAATAATAAATATTTGATGGTTTTGGAAGATTTCATGTCTACCTAATAATAGGCTCGAGTTAAATTAGCCACCAACAAACTCTCTAAAAGTTATGGTGTTTGATCGATGAGAAATTATAATTCATCAGCATTAAAAATGTTAGAAAAGAGTCCACAACAAGGGATTAAAAATAATTGGATTTTCAAATCTTAGAAATAAGTCAACAAAAGATCAAAAAAAAAAAAAAAAAAAAGAGAAAAAAAAAGAAAGAAAGAAAAGAAAAGAAAAAAACCTTTGTATATAATTAGATGGAAGTTGTAACCCTTTTTTGTGGCAAACCTCAGTTGTAAGAGTCTAATAAGGACTAATTAAGTAATTATATTATGGAGTACAAAATTATATCAGACATGCTATAGACTTTTATTTTATTTTTCTATAAAATGGTAAAATTTTAAATTTACTAAGTGCACAAATTTACTAAGTGCACATTCTATATTAAAAATTTACAAAATGTACAGTTTTATACTTCCTCCGTTCTAGTAATATTGCAACAACTGGACTTTTACACTATTCATCACGCTTGTTTGACCATATATTATGATTTATACGTAAAATAAAATATAGTTATGTGGGGTCTTGTTAGATTCGTGTCGTAAAATATTTTCACAATATCAACTTTTTATAATTTTTACTCTTATATAATTATAAATATTTAGCATATAAAATATGCTTGGGGATGCGTAATTTCATCCTTATTGCAATATTTGTAGAATAGAGGAAGTATACTATAAAAAATACGGAGTATAAATCATCTCAAAGTATAATATGTGTGAATAGTGTTTAGAAAAACAAAAGTGTCGCAACTAGATAAAAACAGATGAAGTATACTATATCTGTATACCATCGTGTGTGAAATATGCATGCATTAATAAGCAGGCAAATATAGTTGAACCTCGCTCTCATTTCAGATCACTTCCAGCATGTATGTACTATGTAGTCCCTTCTTGGTCCCAGAATGAGGAATTATTCATCTCTCTAATGTACCCTAAGTCCCCAACTCAATCTTTAGGTAGTTGTTACCTTAATTAAGGTGGATAGTATAGTAACAAAGTAATACGATCAATCACTAAATCGAAGTTTGTTTGCGAAGTTAACCTAGCAAAACCATTTGGCGTTAAATAAAATTTGTTTGGACTAAGAAATTTAGAGGAACTCAAGAAAGGAGGATGAAGATAGATAACCCTAGCTATTTATACATCTCTAGAAAATTAAACGATAGAGAACTTGGTTTTAAAAAGTATATAATCTAATATCATATTATATCATATCACTAATATATAAAGTCGGTCTCGTAGTCAGGTCACAAGACAGCGACACTTGGCATTCTAGTTTTTCGCCAACTGTTGTGCCATGTATGCCTAAATCAAAAGGGATTATCTATCTTATTGATAAGCGGTATGATATCGTATGTCTAAATACTTTACAATATCAAAAGGGGTTATATGATCGTATTTAAGCTAAAAAGTATAGTACAATCCGGGCATCACCCGAGCACAAAACTAGTATATATATAAAGGGAAGTTTTTTCCCCATTTTTTAGAGCGCCACTTAGGATTAATATTTTAAAAGCGTTACAATCGGATTTTGCCACGTAAGATTAGTTATTTTTAAAGCGCTAAATAGGATTATTATAAAAAATTGCCATGTAGGATTAATAATTTTAAAATGCTACAATAGGATTATGCCATGTAAGATTAATTTTAGAGCGTTACATATGAATGTGTTATATTTTAGCAAATAAAAAATGTTGCAATCTAATTTAGATCAAAAATTTTATATTAATTATAAAAATAAAATCAGCGCGTTTTTTGTGTGGCTGACCATGTTGTGTGGCCGGCTGAGACACACCCAAACACTGGCCGAGTAACACCTGTTCAATTGTGTAACCCTTGACCAATCAAGTAACTCCTGACCAAGTAATCCCGACCACACAGTGTGACCAGCTACGTATGAAACTTTGTGAAATAATTTATTTTTTTTAATACGAATTTTATCTTAATATGAGAAACAAAGTTAATAATTCATTTTATAATAAAAAATTCAAATAGTTAGCAAGCGAATATCACAAGGTTTATTAGATAAATATATATTAGTAAAATATTTATTTGAAAAAATACAAACAAACCGTGCATCGCGTCTAGTTTGTTATTAATTGATAGCGATCTTTAACCATTTTATCAATAAAGGAGATTAATATTTATTATATATGCATTTGTTAGAACGAAAATTGGGTAAATTACATTAATTTGTAGATTGGGTAAAGTTTTTGTACGCATAAGTTGGCCAATCGAACAATAAATAAAAATCAATACCACCTTCTATAATATAATTCGACCGTACTATATATTTTTCAACTAACAATTTCAATTTCTGCGTACTAAGAGTAAAGTAACTAGTGTGGATGGAAATGTGATATTGCAATGCTTCCTTTTATTTAGGCTTTAAAAGGTAAAAAGGGTGTGCATTTATGAATTCTATACATGAAAATATAGAGTGACATATAACATATATAATTCAACCGTAATTTTCCTTATATGTTAGCTAAGCATCAATAATTCGAGAATATTCACATACGAAAAAAGAGCACCGTGGCAATACGTTTTTTTTTTTGTAGCATACAACATCTATGTAGTCACAATATATACGAGTATTATATTGTTTATTAAGTTTATAAGGTAAATAATTGACTTGGCGTCGATGAAACATTAACACATTATGAGTCACGCCTCATAGGCTAAAACAATATAACTAAATCACCCTTCAAGTATGTAACACATTGTCACCAAATCAAACGCTACCATTAATTAAATTATTGAGATCAATAGATTGACGAATATTAATTCTACGTAATTTATTAAACTTCAACGTCCATCAACATATATAGGAGCTGAGTGAAGAGTGATTTAGAAGTATGTATATATATAAACAATTAAACACAGTATTATTTAGCAACCAACAATTTAGCAATGTCTGGCTTTATATGAAACGAGAAGTAATAGTCAACAAAACCAACTTTAAAAACAAAATTTGTCCAAAAATACTAAATATGTTTTAGATATTGACAACATACTTCTAACTTCCTTTGCATACTTCTATCAAATTTCTTTTAAAGAATTTGTCAAAAATAGGTTAGACCTTAGACTTCATTGTAAGTTCGTTCAAACTATGGCGGTGCTAGTCAGGTATTTTTGTCAAATCATTAAGTTTGAATTTGTTTAGTTTCAATGCTTTTAAGACCCTATTTAAAAAAGCTTTAATTAGGCCAATTAGGGCAAATTGTTTTTGTCAAATCATTAAGTTTGAATTTGTTTAGATACAATGCCTTTAGGACCCTATTAAAAAGCTTTTATTAGGATAAATTATAAAATGGGCCAGATAGTGATTAATAATAGAAGTATAAGAGTAAATAATTATTCCGTACTTACAATCATATAGGACAAAGCAAGAACACTTCAAAAATAAAAAAACTCAAGTCCGAACTTTTTTACCCAATCATAAGGATCGATCAATTAGGAGTTTCTACTAACTCATTAAATTATTGTTCTTATTTAACTACTTGTAATTTTTATTTTAGTCAAAGATAATTTCTACTTTAGACGACTGAGAATAAACTGGATGTGTTACTATATAAAGATTGCGCCACACACTGTAAATTACAGTTCATTATTCGTAGAATAATAATCATAGCAAGTCCAGTGGTTGAAGCAACAGCAAGATAAGATTAGGTAGTTGGTTGGTTGTTTAAATATTTTTCACATTCATGTTATTAGTGTTGCTGGATTTTTATTTTGTGGCTTTATGTTTATAATCACATCTCTTTCATATTATTATGTCATTGTCACACTTTACTCTTGGTATTAATCTAACATCAAGTTTTCAACTAACTAAATTGTGATACCCATAATTTGCCACAAGAACATGGAGAAGATCACATTCACATGTATCCTTTTCTTGAATTTTAGTAATTATATATGTAAGAAAATAAATTAGTTTATCATTAGGTAAATTAGTAATAATTGGCCAACTAACTTTATTTTTGGCCTTTCATGTAATGCAGTTTCAACATCGACTGAACTTCATGTCCCTTTTAACGTGGATGTTAGAGAGGAATATGCAAATGCCTTTAGAACTGAATCATATAACGAGTTTTGGGCTCGTGTATTGGCACTATCACATAATGATTCACTCTCAAAAAAATCTTTGGGATCAACCTCGACAACACGATTGCTTTCTTATAGGATTTTTGTTGATCATCTCTTAGACCCTGATCAACCTACCGTGACAAAATTGTTATCCTTAACCAAAAACCGGCCCAAAATCATGTCTCTTCTTACTAACTATTTTGAGCATACTGCTAACGCATCTTTTTTATGTGGTCAATTACTAAAAGATACTGACAAGTTACGTGTTAAGTATCGTTCCCTTAAGAAAACCCTAGAATCATTTGATTTTCCTCAATTTTCATCATCATCCACTAACCATTTACCTATAATTTTAACACGACTAACCGAAATCACTAAATCTATTAACCCATTTGTAAATTCTTCTTCTTCATTAGCTCGATTTCAAGCCGTGAAATCTAACTGTTCCGAGCTACTCAAACGGCTTGAGTCTCGACGTGATAGGGTTAAAGCCAAGCTACATGTACTAAATAGCTTTAAAGTCAGCTCGGCTGTTTTTCTTGTAGCCCTAACAACTTCAATTACTATAATTGTTATAACTCATTTTGTAGCCATGTCTATGGCTGTTCCGGGCCTTATAATTGCTTTTAGAGGCTCGACTTCAACAAAACAACTAGCTAAGACATCGGCTCAGCTTGATGCGGCTGCCAAAGGAACGTACATATTGAATAGGGATTTGGATACAATTAGTCGGCTTGTGGCTCGGCTTGATGATGAGCTAGAGCATATTCGAGCCATGGTCGAGTTTTGGATGGATCGAGTTGATGATCACCTACACGCTCAAGCCGGTGAAGAAGTGGCGCGCCAACTTAAGAGGAATGACGCAAAGTTTATGGATCAATTAGATGAACTTGAAGAGCACCTATATCTTTGTTTTATGACCATTAATAGGGCTAGGAACTTAGTGGTAAAAGAAATATTAGACTTGCATCATCCAAGATGACACAAACAAATCTTTTGTTACATGTATTGTTATTAAAATCCTGATTTAAATCTTAAAATTTTACGATTTTATGATTCATGTATGTCATACGATTCGATTTACGATTTTAACCGCTTTTACATATTTATCTTAGCTAGCGAAATCCTTACAAGTTTAAAACATGCCTATATAGTTATTTATACATATATATATATATATATATATATATTGTCAATTAATTGCTTATTAAGTAAACAACTATTTTCTATTAATAATTAGATTTCAAACTCATAATACAAATATATTTAATTAAATTTGTATATGACGTCTTGATTATGCATGTCGGAGAATCTTATGATTCTACGATTCGATTTTGAGAGCCTCTTCCGATTCAAAATAGAACCCCGATTTTAGTAACTTTGTTGCATGTATATATCCATTGTAATAAAAAGAATTTCATTTTCAATTTTTAATCAAATCTCTTGTTATGTCCTCCCTTAATTGGGGTATGTAATCATTTGATATGGTAGATGATGGCCTATTTAATTGTTAAGAATTGATTTCAATTGTCCTAGACCCTCATAATTGTGCCTTAATTGATCGTTTAAAACTAGCCTTTGAATATACAAGGACAAAATTTAATTTGTTAGTCGGTTAATTTTTCATCACTATTATTCAGAATTGAAGATGACATTTCATATATACTACACACATCATTTTCATAAAACTAGTAGTATATTTTTTAGGGGAACACAGAATGTCTGAATTTTTTTTTTACTACTTATAAAACCTTCATAAAATTGTAAAACGGAGAAATTATGAGCTGATACAGCTATTTTTATTTAATGCATAGCATAGGTAACCCTCTATAAAACAAGTAATCAATCATAATCGACTTTAATACTCCATTCAAATTGGAGTACAACTGTTCAACTGTAAGTCCATTTTTAGGTTTAAAGATGTTCAATGCTGACAAAATAATGCTTGTAAATTTTAGAGAGTAGAGACACTAAAGTAGTAAAGTTTAAGAGTCTCTAAAAACAAAATAGACAAGCCCGTTGAAATATATGAAGACAAACTAAAGCCTCATAGTATAGCTTGCCCTCTTCTACAGTTATATATGTGATCCATAGTACTTGTATCCGCATTATCAAGGCACCAACTCATTCCTGTTTGTTGTGCATCTTTAAAGCGTGATCCATCTATGTGCGTCGCTACCATAGCCTGACCAGTCAAATATGATCTCAAATGGGCTGTGTAAAACTTCGGTGGGGGTGTTGCATCAATTTGAGAAGCGTGAAGGGACCTAAAGAAAGTAGTCAAATGTTTTGAATCGATCATAATGTATATTTTCAAATGTTACAACTTTATAATTTTTACTCATAAATATTGATCAATGATATCAATTGGTTAAAATAGTGCATTAATAAATGCAAATGACAAAATATTGCTAGTATTAAGAAATGAAGGAAATTTATCATAGTGCATGTAAATTAATTGAGTCACAAATTTTCATACAATAAGAAATTTTGCAAATTTATGTGCTACAACTACAGTACAAGCCTACAAGAAACAAGAGTAGTAATGTGAAAGACGTCAAAAGTACTAAAGCCACAAGGCCCACAACATAGGCCCCGTTTATAATGTGTACTCCACTACTACTCCATATAAATTGATAAGACTATGAAAAATTTCTTGTAAATATATGAAATATTATTTCTTCTTTTTCTAATACCCATAATCCCATAACATAGAAGATGCACATAATTTAACAAGATGTGAGCATATGACTATTAAAAAAACAGTGACCCATATGAGGAGAAAATTAGAGAAATTATTTTGCAAAAATTTAAAAATAATACCATTACATTATTATTTGACTTATTGTTAAAAATAATTTAACAAGATTCAATAGTATTTGACTTATGCAATGCTCATACAATGCTAAAACTAATTCATGTGTAGATAGTAATCACAATTAAACGTGTTATAACCATGTGGATGTTAACTAGTTTAGTAGATGTTTAATAAAGGGTAGCGTCTTGGTTCACATTTGGGCTATATTTGAAAAGCTAAGGCAAAAAATGAGCAAGAGTCGAGGCAAGGTAAAAAAATTACTTTAAATTATAATATCTGAACTTTTTTTTTTTTTTTTTTTCGAAACAAATATGAACTTATGTTAGCTACTCGGTATAACAAAATTTAAACTTCATGTAATTATGTCAGTTTATTTTCTATGAATTTATATATATGAACTTATTTTGTTTGACATACAACAATATAGAATAAATAAGTCGAAACAAACATACCTTACAAAATTGTTGAATCCGTATCAAATTAAAACTTCACATCTAACAAACAAAAAGATGAGTTAATTAATAATTACATATTTGCATTTGGTTGATTTTCATTTTTTAAGTAAATGACAAATGGAAACAGAGGGATTGTGTGCCTTTGACAGCGGAGATGATCAATGGAGTTGAATCAGAATGAAATCTAGTGGAGATTATACAGAAAATACGAGTAATAAATACTGAAAAAATTATTAATTGGCACTCCAATCCCACAACATGGGGCTGTAACGAAATTCCAGAATTTTTGGCACTTGAAACTTCAGATCATGTGCTTCAATGTAGTATGACAAATTGACAATAATAATTCAAAGTGATGAAAATAATTAAAATAATAATGAAAAAAATTAAATATAAACAAAGAGGCACATTTAGGAGCATTGCACAACTACCAAGACAGATACAACTTCCTCTATTTTTTATTACTGTAAGACGTGTAAGTAGTTACAGAGTATTTTTGACAATATTAACGAGACTCACTTTAAAAGTTTAAATACGAAGTGTATTTTTAAAAAAAAAAAAAAAAACCTTTAAATACGAATATTTTTACTAATATTGAAAAATTTATATCAATAAGTAAAATGTTCTTAGATTTGTCTCAATACTTTAATATATAAAATTTTATAATTATGATTATACCAATAGTTAAAACTTTGCGTTAACACATGTATAAATTAAAACTAATTAATAAAGATAGAGGGAGAACCGTCGAAGATTAACAGGTAACCACCTATATAGTTGGAGCGTTGGACCTCCAAATTTTCAATCTAATATCATATCATATCATATCACTAATAAATAAAGCTGGTCTTGCAGTAAGGCCATGAGACAACAACACTTGGCATTTCATTTTTTCGCCAAGTGTCGAGCTACGTAGGCGACAAAATAGATATTATTGTGATTAGATTAGATAAATTTGTTTAGAATAAAAAAGTATACATCAAATAATTTATAATTCTTTTGAAATTTTTTTGTCTTTTTATTGACAATAAAATTTTATTTATAGCAACACACCACATATTATAATAAATATAAATATCCAATTAACAATAGAATTTTACTCCTATACGAATAACAACGTAATTTTAATTATAAATATGACCATGTATCGTTGAATTTTTTTTAGTCTATTATTAATTTACCATTAAAGCTTTTTAATAAGGTATTCTTCATATTCGGTTGTAATATTTGTGTATGTTTGTGATTTTGTTAATGAAATCAAAAAAGTCAAAACTACTAAAATTAGGACACAACAAAAATTGTATAATACAAGATAATCTTGAAGTGAATTCAAATCAATGTTAGCAAGGTATTAGAACTTTACGAGTTTTACAAAGCCTCCATAGCCCATCTACCAGCCATATATTATTACAAATGGTCCAATTAGGCCAATAATAAAAATATATAATATGATGATTTTACGTGTTAAAAAAAAATTACTTTTAACTTTATATTTATTTTATTTTTTTACCGACACACTCTTCTTTTCACAAAGTTATACCCCCTATATTATTTTAGCATCCTTTTGAAATTTAACACATATGTCGACATAAAACCTTTATAAACAATATATATATATATATATATATATATATATATATATATATATATATATCACAAACATTGGTCGTAGTAGACCAAGTGAATATAGTACAACTTACAAAAACAGAAAATAATAACAAACGTGAAAAAAGAATAATATATAGTATTTCTACTTTCTTTTTGTATCTAACATTTAAAAAAAATATAAATACTAATAATAATAATAAAAAAATATGCCCACAAATAAGTACACTCTTTAAAATGGGTATCCGGCGCAACGCCCGAGGCACGTACCTAGTCACTAATAAATAAAGCCGGTCTCGCAGCCAGGCTGCAAGACAGCGACACTTGACATTCCAGTTTTTCGCCAAGTGTTGCGCTACATCGGCGACAAATAATAAGTATTATTGTGACACATATGATGATAAGTAAGCGAATTTTGGATAGATTTTGTAAGATAAAAATATCGTATAGAGTTTTATAATCAGTATACTTCTAATATTTAATATATACAAAATTAATCAAAACTTTTAATAGATATTCAATAACTCAGTTCTATTACCATCATAAGATTTATTTTAAAAAGTTATTTAAAATAAGATCCATTTATATTATTTATATAACTTATTTAAAAATTAATAGAGAATCAGATTAGTAAAAATAATTTTAAGTTTAATAATAAAAATAATTTCAAGTCAATAATAACATAGATATCTGTTAACAAACAAAACTACAAAAAAAATACACCATCATAAATAAGATATATGATATCGTATGTCTAAATATCCTGCATTATCAAAAGAGATTATATGACCATATTTAACATTCAAGTCAATAAGTTTATCCTAAAAAAAGCTAAACTTTTAGCCTGACCACGAGACAGTGACACTTGATATTTCTACTTTTCGCCAAGTGTCACACCACATAGGCGACATATAAGGATAATTATTTTGACGCGTAAGATTTGTTTGAATATATAACTATAAAAAAGTTGGATAGATTTAGATGGATTGTATTGAATGAAAAAGTTAGTTTAGAGTTTTATTTTAAATAAAATTCGTATAGAACTTTAGGATAAAATTATTGGTTTAGAGTTTTATTTTCGACAAAATACCAATATTTTTTATGTGCAAATTAAATTAAAATTTTATTCATAAAAAATTAGATTATAACTCTCAATAATTAT